CATTACTCGAGACAGTTACGTCGATAATATTCAATTATTTTATAACTAGTTAGGTAGTTTTATATGTATTCTTTTGTATGAACTTACTGCCGATATTTTTTCTCTCTTGTTACATGTGAAACGAAGAACCACACTTGATGGCACCACTCAGATGCAGCCAAGAAGTCGACCTGAACCACAAACAGTCATAGGTCCATATACCACGTCAAAGGTGTTTTGGTCCATGAGAAGTTCCATCGTTCCTGGAGTCATCTAGTGGATGAAATTCGAATGGTAGAGAGCCCTGGAAAATTGGAAAATGCAGTTATCACGGAATGAATAAGCCGAGTCGATATATCGCAACTATAGGATGCATGCCCCAAGCAACTTACTTTGTATCCCGCCTGATGTGCCTCGAAATGGTAGATACGCCGCCCCGTGAAGAGCTGCCCAATTCGCATGACGATATGCTTTTCCGACGCTACAGGAGCCCAAAAGGCAGCCAAAATCCACGAAACCTAGACGAAATTTCCACGAGGTTGAGATGGAAAGGTGCAGAATAGATAAAACTTACCAGAGCCCCGACTACAGGAAGTCAATACAGTAATCAAAGTAATGTCTATATTCCCAAGCAATTAAGTTCGCACTACCACTCACTATACGAAAATCACGACGATTATAAGTGTAAATAGTACCGAACTACCGAAATCATTGCGAAAACGAAGCACTAGTAGCAATGGACGACAAACTACTTATTCAGCAATCTCCGTTATCTGCATATAAAGAGACAGAGATACTCTCCTAAATCTCTTCTCGATTTTTCTCCAGAGACGATAGAGCGCAGCATCCAAAGAACGCAGCAATTGCAGTCTATAAGCTGAACCGTACACTGCCATAGAAAAGGTCTCATCAAAGAGCTAGTGTTCCCTCCCAGGCGAGATTGGACGCCGTCAGACCTTCTCACAGATCTCACGTGCATCAATCCTACCATGTTATGATCTTAATGTTATATGGATGTATCAAGTTACGAGTAAAACAAAACATCGCTGACCTACATTACATTACTAACATATGGAAAATGGAACCGCAACCTCAGATGACTGGCAGGACAGAGTTCAGTGTCAACAAACAATTAAAGTGTAGTGCCGGACCAAGTGATTTTCAGTGTGGTCCTCTTCGAAACTCTCACATACGCGGAGAAAATAGACTTATCTAATGGACAGTTATCACAAGTTCTTTTCATTTGTTCATCTCCTGTTTCAACTAACGATGTTTTTTATGAAATGTTTTTATTTATCATTGATGTAGGTATGATTTTTTCACAATTTTATATTTTTTATTTCATTCGATCACTTATGTAATTCATTTGATTGACTCATTATTCGATTTGATTATTGTATAATTGTTTTGTATCATGTATATAGGTAGTTATAGACACTTGAAGCTGTGGGGCCAGCTTCGTCAAACAGGGGAGATGTGTCAAGAAGTACAAATGTCTATGAAATAACTTTCGTTCATTTCTAGATCTTTATTCTTAAATTAACTTTTTCAAATTAAAACATCTTGTACAACGTTTCGATCAGGTCAAAGCGGAGTTCATAGACTCTAGTTCCGGTAAAATTTGCATGAAACCGCTTAGCTTGCGACACGGGCTTAGCTATACGCCCGGTATCGAACATTGCCATTGCGGAAAATTGCAATGTTAGCATCGATTCCAAATATAAATAGATTCCGAATCGATAAGCCATTCATTACTGATTATTGATTGTTATTGATTCATTACTGATCATTACTGATTTTTGACTATTATTGATCACCCATTTCTGATTACTAATTCATTACTATTATAATGCATTTCGATAACACTTTACTTGATTCCGTAATTGAGTTACTTATTCACGAGTTACTGCCAAAATGTGTACCGTCTTCCCGACTTTGATCCTGCTGGTCAACCCCATCATGTAAGTACTGTTTTTCCATGTTCTATCTGAATTGTTGTTTGGTGTTGTGTTCCCTTTAGTAATTCACAATGGTTTGTCTCTGCTACTTTGTCATGTGGCAAGCATTTATTCACGACTTTCCCATTAAATCAATAAATGTTAATTTTATACGAAAACTATCTTGACTCTTCATTTGGGGATGAATATGGTTGGGTGGTAAAATGATCAAAATCCTCTCATCAAGCCAAGCGAGTAGCAAAGTTGCGATCCATAGGAGGGCAACATCTGAGTTGCGACATGTGGTGGACACGCCGTTTGCCAAATAATCTACCAAAACCATCTGAGTTGCGACAATACCTTTCACGTGCGACATGTTCTTTGAAGACAAGTGTACTCAAGATATTTTTTCAAACTTGGTGATCGTTAACAAGATACAGAAACGCACCTTTGTTCTCGGAAAGATGATCTACGAACTCGAACTGTTATCCATTTCTCTAGATTTTCGAGGTTTCATCTCCTTGTCTCTATAAATTATTGATCTGATCGAGTATTATAATTTCAATTCATTATAACAACCTGTGGAATAGTATATAAGGACAAATTTCATGATATGCCTAGAAATGTCACTGCTCTTGAAATGACACATTCAACTAATTCTTTAACATCAATGGAGCACCGTAGAAGAGTATTCGACCTTAAGACTTTTCTATACTTTTCTATATATATAGCAATACTGGTCAGACGAACTCGACAAGCCCAGTCAGCAGATCCCGTCGTTTGTCAGAGAAATGCAGAGCTTTGGGATTCTTTGCCAAAGGAAGTATTTCCTCCAAGAGGTCAGAAAGTTTCAATTCCTACCTCCTCTCCTCATCCTCCCTAGGTAAGCACTATGTTCTCCGAACATTATAGCGATTGCCTTTCGTGCGCCCTAAGAGAATCACCCTATTAGAAAACCAAGAGAAGAATCCAATTGGTAGTCAGTGGAACCATGTTAAATGAATGTTAGAAGATAAAAGTGTTCATTTTACTTGATTATTTGGGATTTTCTCTCCTCGTTTCTATAAAATAGAAATATTCGTATTATTTCAATATATTTGTAGTGGGACAAATCATCTGATGTCACTGCATTTAACAAATTTTTCTATCATGGAGTCTAGAAGGAACATTCTTCGAAGAAAAATATTTTGCATTTATATGTTGAAAACGGGAGCAGATTCGGTCTCGAAACGTCCAAAGATAAGTGAAAATTCGATAGTTTTTCGATATATCTATATTTCTCTCCTTTCAAACAGATTGTCACTGACAAGCTACTGGATTTTTCTTCTAGACTCCCTGATAGATAAATGTGTTGAACGCAGTGACATTTTGGGGCAAATCATCCGATTTGTCCCACTACAAATATATTGAAATGATACGAATATTTTTATTTTATAGAAACGGGGAGAGAAAATCCCAAAAAATCAAGTAAAATGAATATACCACCTTCTCGATTAACCTACAGAACGTATATAAAACTGTATTGAAAACCTATACAATTTCACTCATCTTTGAAAGTTTTGGTACATTGAAATGATACATATATTTCATTCACAACCATAATATGTAATGTTGTCATTACAAACGTCATTGAAGGTTGGAAAGTGTCACATTAGACACCTCTACTTCCCGCTCTCACTTATGTAATATTTCAGGTATGTTCAGCACGAAACAGAGATTCATTAATTTTGATCGAAATATGATGATTGTGAATAAAATAGTACACAAACCTCGGTAGGAAGTTTCATTCCTGTCTTGAGATCATAGCTAACTAATCTCACGACAGGAATGAATCCCTTCCCACCTCGCTGTGTAATATACCATTTAAAGAATTGAAGAGTAAATCGCAAAAATCTTCTGAAATGAATATAGATTAAGCTACAAACAGTATTTATTGACCAATATGATTCGGAAATTTGAATTACGAGCCGAAATGATTACCAAATTATTGAATTTTACTTCATATTAATATACTCATATCATTTAATTCAATTCAATTCGTTTTTCCGGTAATGACATTATTTGTCCACAATCAAATTAATTTTTCGAGTTAGACAGATTGAAGCATTTTTGTTCATTGATAGAATAATTTTATAATGAAGTCAGAATCTGATTCTGATGTGAATCTAGATTTTATGCTTGTTTATTATTGCTGATTATTGTATTCGATTCACCAAAATTTCTTATCTCCATAGCATTCTGTCTAATACTTCTGATTTTGATAAGATTCGAGCAAATCGATTACTTTCTGAACGGTGCAATTGAATAATTTTTCTGATGTCCAGCTCTGTAATTTTCCTTGCATATAGTATAACATTTCGTATACCGGGTGCAACAGGATCATGATGGTACACCAACCAATTCTGATCAACTCAAATTGGTAATAAATCAAGTTTACATTTTTGACAGGTTTGAATTTTTTCAGCATTTCACCTGTTAATATGAGTACATATCAGACTCGATCAAAATAGTCATGGCACAATCAGATTGTAAATAAAAAATGAAATTAAGATCAATATCGAAGTTTGAAATGTCACTTATATGGTATCATTGAATTCAAAAAATGATGCAGAATTCGAAAATGCAATGATATACAATGTTTCTTTCGGAAATCGATAGTTATTACCACTTTCAGTGAAATCAGTGGGAAATAAAACATATTCATGTCAAAACGTGACGTTCATAAAGTTGATGGGTCATTCCAAATTTTGATCACTTACCTCTCAAACTGAAGGAGAAAAAAGGGATGTACCATGATTTTGTTACACCCGGTATAGTCGCGAAAGGAATATATATTTTTGAAATTTCAGCCAGTTACGTCGAGTCGTTTCTGTTATATCGATCATCAAAGTTATACTCACAAATATACAAATTCACATAATCTCCGATAGAAGATGATGGAAAAACTGTCATACTATTAACATCAAGTTGTCTTCTAATTTCCTCTACAAAATATGTAGAATTCTCCATTATTTAGGCCTTTTCATAACAATGCATAATGTAGGTAAGGTGAAAATATCTATTATCAAGAATGATTCATCATCATGAAATTATAAGACATTGCATGCCATCACCTCTTTGTCTGCACTGACTAGTAATTCGTCTGAGAAATTGTCTCCAAATCTAAGTCTAAGACCTCTCAAATTTAGCACGTCTTCCGTACCTATTCCATAATACTTCAGTCCCGCTGTCATCATAGAAAGCACGTTCTCCAGGAGCAGGAAAATCCTGTGAACGATTTTCTACTGGGGGCTGGAGAATGTTTGCCACCTGTATTTGTGATGAATCCACCCCTTGATTTCCCAATTTCGTCTCATACCTCCTCTCTGGGTAGATACTGTGAGCATTTGGTTGGGTGCTTCTTAGTAATGGATAATTTCCTCCAATTGTTTGTGGGTATATTTCATTACTGAAATCATTTCTTGAATCCACAGGGAGCACTTCGTTCTGAACAGAATCTATTCTCGAGAATACTAGAGGTTGATCAGGTATTCCACCTTGAAATCTTCCATCATCTGGAACTCTATCATTGAGGAATCTGTTCTCAGGATTATAATAGTTTATTTGATTGTTTTGTGACTTGCTTATCACTGCAAATCCTGGAGCTTTTGGTACTGAAGACACTTCTATTGTTGTACCTAAATCGATATTTCCATTGGGGATAGGACCTATTTCAGGAGGTATGATATTTCTGGAAGGTATAGTGTTAGGGTTCAATATCAGTTGCCTATTAGTAGCCAGTGCTTGATCGAGATTTTGTTGTAGATTGCTTCCTGCCTGAATTGATATATCGGTTGACGATAGTATTGTCGATGGTGTTGATTGCTCGGGACTAGGAGTAGTAGAAACTATCCTCCTGTCAACATCTAAGTTATTGATGATACCAAATGAGGAAGAGGGTTGCACTATGTTATTGTTACTACCCAATGAATCAGGTGATGCTATCGTAGAACTCCAGACTTGATTTTCGTCGATTATAGATGAAACAGTCGAATATTGTATTTGAGGAACAACTTTATCATCCCAATCTTGTCCTAATACTGATGGCACTAAAGTAGAACTTATACCTACAACATTCCCCTGGTAACCGTCAGATGTTGGAGAATTTCTAAGTAATGGAGGTGCCAAGGTGGAACCCCATTTCGTATCAATATATTTTGAATCTGATGGATGTGCTATGCTACTGCTGCCAAGAGATGGAACTAAGGTGGAATCTACATTTATTGGAGGAGCAGTGATTGGAATGAGCGGTAGTCTGGGATCACTTGCTGGTACTGCTCTTGAGTTCAGAGGGTTGGAAACTGCTAGGGGTATCTCTTCGTTGACCTGTACAAGCGGAGTATGATGCAATGGAGTAGTGATAGAAGATACTACAATTGGTACAGAAGGAGCTACTACCGCTATTCTTGCTGGTTCTGAAACACAAAAAAATGGCTTATAGTAAAAGTTGATAGATTCTGCGTCTACGATTTTTATACTAATGTTAGTTGTCACAATTGAACAACCCCGCACTCTTTCCTTAAATAGGGAAGAACAGAGAATAGAATTTCTGGTCAGGCGTTGTGACAGTTTCTACCAAACTCATCAGACAATTTCAAAACCTGACATTCCTTTTCTATCTGGCATCATTAATCAAATCCAGGTAAACTTATTTATATATTTTTATTTATCAATGAATAATCGATCTTCAAGATGAACGATCTAGAATAGGATAATTCATGTTTGAGCAGATATTTTTTATAATTGTTCTTCGTGACCATAATCATAAAGCTTGATGTCTTTTCGAAATGATCTCGAAATTTTTCCAATCAGACCCTTATTAATGCCTTGTTTTTCAAAAATGTTGTTAAAAATCCTAATTCTGAGCAGCCCTGTATGTATTTCAAATAAACATCAATTGATAGTACATAAAAAGTTGAGAAAGGGACATGGAAACCGTTTTGACCAATAATGAATAGTTTCGACACAGAGAATTCCTAAGGTTGAAAAATCTCGATTTTTCATATCCTATAACTCTGTAATTAGCACCGCTAGACCCTAAGTGTCATAGGTTTATGAAATCAGCCCTTCAATGAGAATCTGAAAATGGAATAATTTACAGAGTGTCCATTTCAAAAAATCAAAGTTGTTGCTACTTGTGACATTGAGAAAATTTTAGTTCGATAGAACACAAATTATTATCCAGGGCATCATTTTCTCAGAATCGTCTGATGTGCCATTAATCGTGAATCAGCCTGTATATACGATACGACTAACGAATTCATCCTCTTTTACTGTCAGACAAAACAATGATATTTCCTGATTTTCATTCACCATTGATAACATTTACCTCTTTGGTTGTCTCTTTGCCTCGTTTGAAGAGAAAAAAAACTTGCTAGTCTTTTTAATGATGTGATCCATTGAACTTATTGCTCTTGGATTTCATTTTGCAGTCATCAGGCAACGACGATATGAGTGCAAAAGCAGGTATGTTTGCAAATGGATAGATAGTTGTTTTTATGGATAGTTTTTTCTGGATAGATAGTTTTTTTTTATCGCTTGGTGCGCACGATAGGGAATCCTTATAATGTTCGAAGTAATGTGGTTCTCATATTCTCGAGATACTCAATTCATAATAATCAACATGCGAGTTCTACACTCCAAAGATACCATCTATAGCTACAACATTTTCACACATTACTCATTATTATTCTCACTAACATTTTCACGGTGAATTTGTGAAATTATTATTAATAAGGTAATCATTACTTAATTCAGGTGATAGATTCTTGAGCCTTTAGTACCTGATACTGATTACGCTAAATAACTAGGATTACTTCGATACTTACTTCTAAATAAGAATAAAAAGTTTTGGAATATGGCTGATGGGTTCCTCATCATTTCAAATGACAGTTTTTGAAAAATCTATAATAGATCTGAAATACATTTTTCTGCAACCGACACAAAAGTCGTCCATTTTGATTCCAAAATCAGCTCTCAAATTGACGTTTCTATTACTGACACAAAAATAGGTATGTTGCTAGGCAACATATTTAGTTCCTAGGAGCTAAAGTTGAATTTTAGTTCCTAGGAGCTAAAGTTCAACTTTAGCTCCTAGGAACTAAAAAGGATCTACTGGACGTCATCAAGGATGAACAACATTGTGACGGTTTAGGTTATTTGGGTTGAGACGCATACCCGATTTGTTTCCGATTTCAGCAGATTTGGCATTTCATACCCATGCTGGAGATATAAATACACTTTATTATAGTTTAGTATTGGAATTATAAACATCTCAGTTAAGTATTTTTGTTTTGATCAGGGAAGCCTTCAAGATTCAAATACTTGCTTGATCTGTATTTTATTCGTTATTCTCGGGATGAATAACTTATTGTTTTTGAATCACGGCAAGCAATAGTTTTTTTGTCTCAAACAACGATATTGTTTAGCTTCATTTGATCATCAAGTCAAACACAGTGTAGTATGGAGGCGAATAAATAATCACTATTATCATTGTTGATATGCTCACTAACCTAAAATTTTCCACGTCTTGTTCCTATAGCTGGCACTGGCGCGGTATTTGCCATTAGAGCACCTGGTCCATACACAAAAAATATGTCACTCTGTGATTGTATTTATATTGAAACTACAATTCGAACATCCTAGAAAACCTAACCTGCTGTTAATGCAGGTAGAATATTCTCACCACATGGATTATTTGTCAATATTTGTTGCATTGCATACATATGGCACGGCATTGGTGGTTACTTCACATGTTTATTTGAGTTGATTGTTTTGGTTGCAGAAAAAATAGCATGTTTCATTCGGATCAAAAGTGACTTTGTTCGACTCGCAAATTTTGTTTTCGCTCGGCTTCGCTAAACGCTCCGCCTCGCAAATGCAAAATTCGCTTGTCAAACAAAGTGTCACTTTTGATCCTAATAAAACAATCTACTATTTTTTTACGGCTATAACACAAAATTGCTCTTGCTTTACTGTGTTCGTTACATCGATGAGGTACTTTGTATGTCATCAATTTTATTGCCGTATCTGATATCACTATAACACCATTGTGTTATTATTTAAAAAAAAAACTCATCTCCCATGGAATGTCAAATCTCTAGCAGAGATACCTCTGTCTAATAGATGAGCATTACTTGAGAGAAAATCAGATGGCTTCAAGTCGAAGAAATGAAAAATGTCACTGTTACTTGTGACAGCCGTAGAAAAATTATAGTGTATAACTCGCACGGAATGCTAATTTCCCACTCCAATGATTGCAACATTCGCCTGTGAATCACTATCATTCCGTGCTCGTTAAACATTAATAATAATACAATTGGAAGATTTTGAAATTGAGTTGATATACCCGAAAATGTTTGAAATACACATTCAATGTCTAATTTGAAGTAAGTACATCTGACGCATTTCGGAATTGGATCAATTTATAATTTTGAAATGAAATTTATGCTTCTGCAAACGCTTTTCGAATTGAAATCTGAAAGTTATGACGTGTGAACAACCTCATTGTTCTCTTTTCGAGCCATGATGAATATGAGTTTTCAAAATATTATCAAAATATACATTTTAATTAAATACTCCAACTACTGAGGGGATCTTCAGAGAATGAATCCGAATTATTAACCTATGAAGTGATTATATTATTTGATGTGATATATTTTGAGAAAAACTAATAGAGATGCACGAATCGGACCGCATATTTACGTTTCCTATACAGCCAGCGCGATAGGTCGCTCTCAAGAGATAGGGAATGGAGTGCATCCTGGAGCACTCCGTTTCCTAGCTGATAAGCGCGACCAACGACCATCGGCGTTCCCGCCAAGGAAGAGATTGATTGCGAATTGTTCATGCAAGCTCTATGCGAGAGTGAAATCGCCAGTAAATATATGAATTTTATTGAATATTTCGACAAAATGTGGCAGAGAAGACAGGATTGGTGTCATATTGTTTTCGAAATAAACTTTGCAATAGGGGCCATAATACAAACAATTTAGTAGAAGTATCAATAAGAGTTTTTAAGGATTTGGTACTACAAAGATGTAAGGCTTTCAACACAGTATCCTTAGTAGAATTCATCTCTTTATCACTGGAGGACTTCTACAAAGAAAAATTGTTGCGTTATGCTAGCTCCAGGGATAACAAATTGTTAATTTATTTTACGAAATTTTGCAAAAAATCGGTTGATCTTCGTGTTGTGAAAGTGTCTGAAGATCAGTTTACAGTTACTTCAGCTGCAGATGAGACATTTTCGTACCAAGTCAATACAAAGTTGGAAGTGTGTGACTGTCCAGTAGGGGCAGGAGGGAAATTTTGCAAGCATCTGTTCGCTGTATATAATACTGGTGTGCAGATGCACAACGTTTGTAATATTTTTTTACAAGACAAAATAGAACTTGCTACGTTAACACTTGGAAATACTATCAGTATAGTGCCAATTTCTTCAAAGATGGATAAAGAAAAAGATAACGAAATTACTGTAGATTTTGGCAAACCCATGATGTTGGAAACGGAAGATGGCCTTAATGAGACGACTCCTGATGAAGAAAATAATTTTTCGGTTGAAGTGAACGAAACCACAGATTAACAAACCTAAAACTGATGGATCAGTCGAACTCAAAGAATTCAAGGACAACTTGAAAAATATTAGCAGCTTCGTGAAATCTCATCCAGCACTATTGCCTATTGTGACGAAGTTCAATAGGCAGATGAAGAAAATGGACAGCGAAGCTTCGTTCTATGCTCTATGTTCCTCGTTTACTAGTCAGAAAAAGTCTCACAGAATTAATGTTCAACCTACCTCTATTGCTAGAAGAACATCTGCTTACAGAGGTGCCAAAGCTATACAAGCGGGTCGGCCATCTAGCAGCGGAATAAGTTCGAAAAAGAGACCTCGCAAAAAACGTTCATTAATAGTGAACATCCTACAAAATACCACGAACGCTGTGAAACTTCCGTTTCATTGTCAAATTGTGTCTTCTTCAGACTGAAAATTAGTGTGGAAAACAAAATCTGTAAATAATCCTGACCCATGTACCACAGAGCAGCCGATGGTCGTTTATCGTTGGTCGCGCATATCAGCTAGGAAACGGAGTGCTCCAGGATGCACTCCATTCCCTATCTCGTGAGAGCGACCAATCGCGCTGGCTGTATAGGAAACGTAAATATGCAATCGGCATGTCACAATTTCACGAAATATCCTAAACACCATGATTGTTATTTAGTCCTCATAGAATCATTCAGCTGAAACAAAATTTTGTAAATACATTCAGATTATTCTATTCAACCAAACTTCTATCTATTGAGGTTGGAGGGTGTTATTCATGGAAACTCACCTGAAATCGTTGTCGAAGCTGGACCAGAAATAATTGAGCTGGACCCTCTTGTTGAAATTCTCCCAGATGGTCCTATCAAATCAGAAGATTGATTTGGCTCAATAACAGGAGTATCTACGATTTCTGTCTCAATTATGTGAGGCTCCTGCTGTGCAATCTCTATGGGCGCATTCAGAGTAATCACAGGTGCTGCCGAAGCTAATGTGGGAGCTGCAGTTGCTGATATTACGGGTTCCAGTGGTGGAGCTATAGTTACTGGAAGATGCCCTCCAACTGGTCCTAACACTGGTAGAACAGCTTGATCTCCTGTCAAAAATAATGTTGTGGATTGAAAAATTTAAAATAAAAGAGTAGAAATCTAGTTATCTATTTCGAGCAGTATGATGTACCTACCATCGAGGCAGCACGAATAGGTCCTAAAGATATCTCGAAGATATCCTTTTGGAAAATTGGGATGCCTTTTGTAACTTCTTTGAGAGATCGCCGAGAGCGCTATATCTTCTCCAAAAAATGTCCGCCGCCTAGAATGAGCTCAACGAGGTCTTGAATATATCCCAGACAGAAATACTCATATAATGCCCTCAGGCGAGAACTTTGGGAAAGTCGCCTCAATCACTACTAGCGAGGTGTGAAAGTGCTCGCGACTACGAGCTGTTTGAGATATTCGCAATCATAGCCTATTGTGACGAGGACATTGGAAGAATCGCATCAATTGCTACTGGCGAGGTCTATAAATGCTCGCAACTACGAGATGTTTGAGATATTGGGAGACATTGCTTTGTGACGAGGGTTCGAGGACTCAAGAAATTCGCATCAATTGCTAATGGCGAACTCTCCAAGTGCTCGCAACTATGAGTTGTTCAAGAATCCGTGCACCAACCAATATTCGCATCAATCGCCACAAGATTGCCACTGATATGCTATGGTGTTCAATTTTTGAGTCATTGGTTGTCAGCAGTCACCTGTCGACGAAGTCTAAGTAGGGCCAGCTAAATTGTTTGGGGTGAAGTTAATTTTACTCGATATTTGTTCAACGCCAAAGATGAAATCACCACTTTTGGATCAACGGTATTGAGTTCATCTAATGCATTCTAAAGTAAGACAATAATCAAGTGAATATTCATACTTGAAAAAACCTTTCAGAAGTTGGCCGATATAACCCACAAATTTGAAATACCTAGATACTTTATTCTGGATCCTACCCGAATTGAAATATGTTTTTCTATTTCGTAAGGGAAGATAATCATCATTAATTCACTGCAAAATGTCAAATAATCTTTTATGTTCGCGGGGAGATATGGCATCAAGAAAATCAAGTATCTAGTGTAGAACAATTATTATTTTGAGTTTTAGATATTATGTTTCCATTTCATGTTAATACCGGATGTTTCAAGTTATCGTATACTGGCGATATCTCGCTTTTTCGACAAGATGATCAATACATTGAAAAAACTGCTTCGAATGGCATCAAGGAACTTCCTAATGACTTATGAAATAATGTATTAGATTTGACAGCCCTCTGGTAGCTACCCCTCAATTCTCATTGAATGGCACTCCTTGTGTATTGTCAGTGGACATTGCCTGTCATCCTATCTTGGAAGACAACGATAGCACATACTTTATATTTTGCTCATTAATAACAACAAAAACATTAAGATTTTGTTACCTCGATCTTGTTACATCAATCAAAAATTGCCTCTGCTCATCATCATATCTTATAACAAGGTTGGAAATGGCAATGAATTTCTTGATTACTATGATTTCATCCGTGTTTTGATGAAATTAGAAAATTGTTGATTATAAATAAATACTTCTCTTGACAACCCCAACTTGAAATTATGAGACTACAATTTCGACATCAGGGACACCAGTTACTATTTAAGTTACCTGGTACCTGAAGAGTTGAGTGAACTGATTGATGGCAAAACCACTTTCTTCTCACATAAAAGTGATTGTTTGGTCCGATATACCTACTAGTATCATAATCTGAAATTATCTGACAAGATTTTCTTGGGTTTTGCAAGTCTTATCATCGTGTTCAGCAGGAAATGCAATCAAAATTCATTGAATTTTCCACAAATGAAGAGGAAATGAGATATGCTTTGAAAGAGTTAGTTTCATAGAATATTCACCTACGAATCCAGCAGCATCAACAAAAATTTGGCATTGATAGTATCTAAGACTTAGTAAACGAGTTCGAAATAGCTTTGTTGGCTCAAAAATCCACTATTTTCCATAAATATTCCTATAACTGAAAATTATGCGCAATCTTGCAGGTATTGTTGAAACAGAATACAGAAAAGCATGTCAAACTGTATAATATCATATAACCATAACAATATTGGTGATTTTGCAATGATATAACAGGATCAAAATAGATAACGAGATCTGAATAGAAACATCTGATTGATTTATCATCCCGGATGACCTTATATAGTATTGGGCATTAATCTATCTCATTTTGAAGGCAAACTCAGATTCATTGAACTACTCTCTGGAAATTCAAGAGGAAATGAGAAGTACCCTAAGATCAATCAGTCCCATATATCCTCAGGCTTCAGAGAAGCTGGTGGATAGCCACAGAAAGGAATATATAGGGTAATTCATAATTGAATGTCAATATTCGAGGAAGCGATTCTTGGGCCCATTGGGCCCTCTTGGTACATAGTACATGTATGCCAAATATCATTAAAATATCTGAAGTGGTATTACTGTACCACCCTGTATCTCAAAAGTTAGGACGTTCAGGTCATACGTTTATAGGAAACTTTCTTCTTGGAATGGGCCCAAGAATAGTCTCCCCAAATATTGACATTCAATTATGAGTTACCCTGCATACTTGTCTAAAAATGCTAGAGGCTACGCAATGAACACACCTCTCCAACAAACAAACAAACAAACAAACAAACATACAAACAATTGAATACTTGAAAAAGGGGGAACTATAGTGACATTTGTAGACACATGAGCTTTTGACGATATCTCCATCAAACAGAGACAAAGCGAATAACATGAATGGCCGGCACTATTTGAATCAAAATATAATAACGGTCTAAACGGAATACACTGATATTTCGTAAAACTAGAATGAGGAAGACCTGAAACTATTCAGTGTCCATAATTGATTTCGAACTCATTAAGAAACGATACAATCATATAGTTCTCACTAATTCATAATTCCCATTTGTTATCAAAGTATCTAGCTCCATTATATCTGGTCTCAATATCATTCTCAATCTGTCTGGTAGCCAAAACTCAGATATTTTGTTATTCAAGCATGCAAGGACAGGTTATAAGATATGTAGAAGTGAATATAATTATGAAGAATGGGGAAAGCTTCAAGTTGGGGTACCAAATGATATGGAGTCATTCTTGTTTCTGTCATAACCAACTATTCCTCCGAAGAAATTATTGAAATGAAGGATTTGCGAACTTCTCTCACCGTTTTGAAACAAATCCACGGTACCTGTAGTGCCAAAGGATGCGATAGCATTGATTTCTGAATCAGCTTGCCCACTGATGTCTACGGTTTCAGCTACCACAATGGGCTGAAATCCAGTACCAGTGTGGATTTCGCCCCCCTCAGATTCTGATGTGATAACGCTGCCATCTGGCCCCTTGATTATCGTTTCTGAGTTGGGTCCTTTGAAAATCCCTCCGATGCCTCCTGGGTTGATGACTAAGGGGCTCAGGGAGCATTTTACTACTATGATGTAGCCTGATAGGGCAAGTAGCCAGAGCTGAAAGAGAAAGCAAATTTATTCGAAATAGAGAAAAATATCCATATCAAAATTAACAATCATCAGCAAGTAGAGCAAGCATGAGCGCCGCCAAAATAATTTTCAGGGGGGTGCACCTGCATTTACAAACAATATAATAAATATTCACTTGTTATAAATTGAGTATATATGTACATAAGGTCAATTAATGAACAGTATTGGACTGTAACATAGGATCTTCAAGACCTTTCATTCGAACACTAACTTAAACAAATTCTTAATTTTTTTAATGAATGTTCTCTCCCGCCAGGGGGTTGCAAGTGCACCCCGTTGCACCCTGCTGCCAACGCCAATGGAAGCAACCTTACCTCATATCAGCATCGTTGATATAAGATTAAAGGGTTAGGGTCGAGTCAAGGGTATCTGTAGCCGTTTTGCAGAATATTTTTCGCGCCCCCAGAACAATGGAGAAGGATTTTTCGTTATATGGCAAACAAAAATGCGCCCTCTGTGAAGTTTTCTTAGTTTCAAGGTCAAATGCTGAAAAATTGCTGATTAGTTAGCTCTCAGAGTTTCAGCAACTCCATCACATAATCAATGAATTATTGAATATATGTTACATATGATACCATATTCTTTTCGAACCATATCACTTATTTGATCAACATTGGTCCATAATATATGTCAAGAGCTCATTGAATGTAGAGGATTAGATCGATCCGTGGTATTCGTCAAGGAAGATGAGGTTATTATCAACTTAATTCATTTTCTCTGGATCAGGACCATAGCATGAAGAGTTTCAGTTTATCAGAAGATATGGAAAATGTTATATTCTGCGAATATTCCTTGAACTGAATCATATTGGAGTGTTCAATATACTTATCTGAAAATCACCTTGTGATACGAAAGCATTCTATAAAGGTATGTTTCTTTATACCATCATGAAAATGCAACTAATAAATAATCTGAAAGCACCTTGTCTCAAAAACAAGAAAGTTCATCTGTGTCGCAATTTTATTTGGAAATCAACAAAATTTCTGTTCGAATCCTCATTTCCCCTGAAACTCTAGAATATAAAGCTCCAGATGACTAAAGATTGTAAAACCTGGTAAAACCAACCATCAGAACTGTTTTTGGATATGTATGATGAATATCAATCCATCATACATCCAAAAACAAATGCCCAAATGACAGGAATATGTCAACAAATCATAATTCTCAGATGCAAGTTCGTAATAGTTTTAGTTATATTATAGGAAGATGAAGATTGTGTATATCATGAAGAATGGCGGAAAGAATGACTGGACTTCGGGTTACTGATGAGGATTTGATATCCGAAATGAGTTTATTCGAGTGAAGTCATATAATAATATAATTCCCATATCACTGATACGAATGATTTTTACGGAAGTTCCAAGCTCATCCAGATCAGAGTTTATACATATACATCTCAATTCCCATTTCGATACTGAACATATTGGTAAGTTATATTTTTATATCATAATACATCATATTATATCCGATTCGAGAGATGATGTCAATTTCCAATTTCAGAGGATTTTCATTTTTCACACTCTCTTTTTGGATGTTCAACATGCATAAATATCTGTATATAAAGGAGAATGCGATTTCTCGACTTCGGAAGATTTTGTTCACAAATTCTTATCGTGTGTGTCCAATGGATGTAATTCAATTCGCATATAGCCAGGAAAGTAGTTGTTTTCTGTTGAATAAACCGAGAAAGAATTTATATTTTCAACACATAAAGAATGCGAATTCACAATATTTCTTTATATATACAGGATGTCCGCTAAAAGGAGGTCAATCTATTAATCATATATTCCTTGAACAAAAACAATATGAGTTTCTAAATACCATTTCCCATTATAGCCTTCATATTTGATATACAGGGTGTCAAAGTTGAAAATTGAAAACTGTTTTTTATTAATTACTCGCGTATTTAATAAGATATCAATCTCAAAATTGGTACATTACTTCAGCACAAAGAGTTACATCGTATGAAGATAACAAAACAGAAAATATCTGTTGAATATTCAAAATACTGGGGGTCTAGTACACACTTACCCCCATTTTTTTTTTGTACGTGCGCTAATGACTTCCTATTTATTTTTTTTAAAGTGATCAATCATTTTTGAGTATTTTTTGTCTCTTGAACAATTTCGATAAAATTATTTTTTGAATATAATTCGAAAAGTACTGGTTATTGTTTGATGCCTATGCGGCTTACAGTAATCTCATAATGTTCACATACTCCTATTCATTTCGTCGAAATTGGAAGAGGGCGTAAATTTTTACGTACGAAGAGGTAAATATGGAAATACCGGGTGCTCAGGAGCAAATGTATTAAAATAATTTTTACAAAAAAAAATTGATAGAAATTCAACACGTCTAAATAAATTGCTAGATATGACCTCCAATGTTCTGAATACACATGCGAGCCCTTCAAATTAAAGAAAATCTTAGCCTTTGAAAAATATGTGGCTCATACACAAAATCTTTCATACATCCCCAGACAATCCTGATCTGCTATTTCTTTCATCAAGTAGCTATTAAAATCATGGATATAATATCACCTGAAATTTCCGAAAATATATTTTTTCAAATTTCTTCCGATTTTATTTCCCGTTCGTTCGTGCTCGACATACCATACGGGAGAGGGGGGGGGGCTCGAAAATATTTCAAAACCGCTGAAACCGATTTAAAAAAAATTGAAATATTTGCTGTGAAAATTATTTTAATACATTCGCTCTGAGCACCCGGTATTTCCATATTTTCCTTTTCGTACGTAAAAAGTTACGCCCTCTTCCGATTTCGACGAAAAAAATAGGAGTAGGAGAATAACCAGTACTTTTCTCGAATTATCTTGAAAACAAATGATTTCATCGGAATTTTACAGTTGACAAAAAATACTCAAAAATGATTGAACACTTGAAGAAAAATAGATAGGAAGTCATTAGCGCACTTACGAAGAAAATATGGGGGTAAGTGTGTACTTGACCCCCAGTATTTTGACTATTTGACAGTTATTTTCTGTTTTGTTCTCCTCACACGATGTAACTCTATGTGCTGAAGTAATGTAACAAATTTTGAGATTGATATCTTATTAAATACGCGAGTAATTAAAAAAAAACAGTTTTTTATTTCCAACTTTGACACCCTGTATATCGAATATGAAGGGCTAAAATAAAAAATGGTATTCAAAAACTCATATTGTTTTTGTTCAAGGAATATATGGTTAATGGATTGACCTCCTTTTAGCGGACACCCTGTATATATACATCCATTCTTTCATGTTTATCATGATATCTGAGGATATTCCTCTTCAATATCAGGACTGTTCTTTATATCCCAGTAAAGTCTGATCATTCCTCCTCGTTCAAAATTGAATTGTTAATGATGTGAATGCAAATGAAAAAAATTCTCAGAATAAAAAAAAATCAGGTGTTTTTCAATAAGTCATTCAATGAATAAGCCAACTGAAAAAAAAATCACGAAAAAATGATCCTGACCTGCAGTATTCTTAATTATTTTTTCATGAAATTTCGTGACAAATGACAAAAATCGCACGCAACGTAACAACATGAGAAAAGTACAGACATTTTTCATGAATATATGAAATAACATTAGCAGATAAGGAATTGATTAGTTGCATAAGTAGTACCATATGAATAAAATACTCATGCAGAGGCATTCTGAACAAAAAATATAAACTGAGAAGAAATAATTACCATAAACTTCATTGTACAATCTGTGAACTGTAACTAGGATATAATACAACTTTTAATGTCATTTATCTTTAAACTCATGTTTTATACCGCTATGCAACCTTGCAACGTTTTTATTATTTTTTCTACCACGCCTTTCATCCACATACATGAAGAATTAATCAACATTACGAAATGATTATTGAACTGCGACAGTTTCTTACGGAATTCTTTCTTCCTATATAGGTACAGAACAAGTATAACTTCTCCCACATGTTCCAGGAAAGTGTTTAAGTTACGATTGATTGGTTTTATATATAGGAGGCAATAAAATGAGCGATATGGCGTCTTGAAGAGAACAATATTAATCATAACTTACACTGAATCAAAAACTACTTCTTATAGCGCAAAATGACATTTTCGCATCATTTGGATCCATAATTTCACTTATTTCAAATATCTAGATTCTGTCTCAATCAGGAAGGTGGACTGTTCATGCCTATAGATTTTTTTGGATTTTCTATTCTCGTTTCTATGAATAAAAATATAAGTACCTATTATTTCAATATAAACTGTAGGAATGATAAATCAGTTGGTTTGCTCCATAATATATTCTTTTTCAAATTCACTATCAGAAGGCTACAAGATGATTTCAATCGATAGTCAGTGACACCCTATTTCGAAGGGTTTTTTTTTTTTTTTTTTCTTTTTTTTTATCGCTTGGAGCGCACGAAAGGGAATCCCTATAATGTTCAAAGAACATCGTGCGTTCCTAGGGAGGATAGGGACAGGAGGTAGGTATTGGAATTTTTTTTGAACTTTTGGAGATTATATGTTGTTGGGAATACTTCCACAGGAAATGAATTCTAGAGCCTAGCCGTTCTAAGAATGAAGGAGTCTTGATAAAGTGCTGTTCGACATCTTTCGAGGTTGACAACGAGAGGATGTGCTGACTGGGTTTGTATAGTTCGTCTGATTGGTATTGCTAGTGAAGGGATGATAGCAGAGATTTCCGAAGAACATTTCCCGAAAATAATAATATTATAGGTTCAGCATATCGGAAAAAATCTAATTTTCACCCATCTCTGGATGTTTCGGGAGGCAGATTCGTGCTTCTCGTTTTCAACATCGAAATGTAAAATTTCTGTCTTGGCCAATTGGTCTCTTTTTCTTCTATTGACACTTCTCAGTGACAGAAGTATTGAGGAAAGAGGAGTGTTATAGAGTGTTTTCAATAATTAATCTTCAATTTACCGTTTCCATACTAGCATCATAAGAGTTCAATCACCTTTCAATTCATGTTTTACTCCAAGTAGAGTTCCATCTATCCAGATGCGTAACATTATGTCCTATGGACATCCAGAGACAACCTCTTCGGATATTTGGGACGTGTCGAAGACGTTCATTTCTATATGGCGGACGTCTTACATATTGTCCAAAGAAAATATGATATTTTTGAAACCATTTCACGTCAATTATTTTCATGCTGAAAACGGGTTTCAATTGCATATCCTTCAAGCGTATTATCTGACTCCTTTAAAAAAATGAAGATTTGAAATTTACCTAATTTGTTATATATATATAAACACAGAGACCTACTACCAACCTACTTTTTGTTTATAATGAAGCCGATCATAATACAGTCCTGTATCGAAAAACATGCTTCAGGTGATCCACAGTTGTATTCACCTGAACTCACAATAAACTGATTACATATCTTCCTAAACTGAATAGCTTCAAGCATCAATGGTTCAAACAATATTATTCAAATCAGTCATAATTTTTCGATGAATCGTTATATTTTATGTTCGCTTATACAGTCGTGTATTACAATTTGTAATGATAATGATAAAATGATAATGATAATATAATGACGACTTGACTCCTATATTACAATTGGTCCACCCCACCCCAGTTATTCCGTATTCCTAGGGCAATTAGAAATTTTTTTCTGTGACGGGAAAAAAGTTTGGCATTTCATCTCTGTTGGTAGGTTATGAAATGCCACTTTTCATGATTTACTTTGTTCCCGTGGGAAAAAAAGTGAGTACTTTTTTCCCGGATATATATCACATACAGAGTGGGCCTTTGAAAACGAAACAGAGGCTCTGTAGGTCGCCAAAACCGGATTATCAAAAAAAACTGAAACAGGTCAACTACATTTTCGAGCGGGACATCTTTCTAAAATATTTTCAGCCCTGCGGCGTTGCCGCTTCTAAAGAAAAGAAGCAACAACTTTGTTATTTCAAATGGAACACCTTGTATTTTATTGCATTCTTAGATTCTCTCCGAAGAGCTTAATTCATCAATGCATCACACTTGGGGTCTAGCTGTAATGGTTTCAGGGATATAAAGTGTTCAAAATCGAGATTTTTCAACTTTAAATTTTTTTTGTGTCGAAACTATTCATTATTGGTCAAAACGGCTCTCATGTCCCTATCTCAACTTGTGATTTACTATCTACTGACATTTAGTTGAAACAAATACAGGGTGGTTCAAGATTCATTTGTGCTCTTTTAGTTATAGCTGCAATAACAATCAAATATCTAATAATTTCTATAACCTTATCATTTTTTATAATCTCTAAATAAAAAATAAAATTAACGATTATAATTAATAATCTTGTAATTAATATAATGATACCAAAAATAATAGTTAATATTTTAATTATTTATCTTCCATTCGACTTCGAGGTTACGTATATTACTAAACAACCACTAAATTCGCAATTTCTTGAAATCAAATCACAGAATTAGACTGACAGAAGTGACATCAGATATTTGATAACTTCAAAAGAATGATAAAGATGCCTACAACGCAAGTGTCCCTACTGTTAAAAACTTAAACTTTCACGTCCATAATATTCAGATTTCAAGATAATGTAATATCTTCTCAATATTGATTCGTCCTTTTTTCTGTCACAGCTACGCGTCGGGAGACAACACAACCTGGAGCTAAAATCTACTTCTTTCTTCCCTTGTATAATAAATAACTATTGTTTCTCTCATAATATACTTCTGAAAATCATATACTGTGTCGACCAACAACGAATTATCAAACACAATTTCTTGGCCTACTGCGATCACAAGAACTGCAGCAAAATCAAAGCAACACGAATTTTTTACAAAAATTTTGATAATGGCAATTGATTCGCACTAGTCACAAATACTCCCATATCAATTTCAAAAACAATAACCCGTAAGGTGTGTTTTCTATCACTGTTACAACTTTTAAATAATTGCAGTTTTCAAGTCACTGAACTTGTAGTCAGGATCAGATCATATGTCTACAGAGTGGAATAAATAACGAATAAAAACTTCAGAAATGTGAATTTTTCATCAGGAAATAAAAAGAAGAAGAAATGACTAAATGATACCAATAAAAAAACTGAAACAGCGACCATACCTAGCAAGCTCAGATTTTTGTTCTTTGGATCAAATCTCCTTCATTCTCTATACTTTTTTCATATCTCTTTTGTACGTTATTTCCAACTCTATACTCATAGTTCTTCTCTTGGTATTTCTCTGCAAACTCTTTTCTATTACTTGGCCTGAATTTATCACTCTGTAGCCAGATTATCTAATCCTGACTACCATCATGTCTGGTATCAATCAGATTCTCGAAAGAATTATTATTATACACGATGACTCAAATAATATTGCTTTGAAAACTGATATAGGAGTATTTGTGACTAGTCGATTGCCATTATCAATTTTCTTGAAAAAATGTCAATTCTGTTTTCAATAATTTTGTTGGAGTTTTCGTGATCGCAGTAGGCTAAGAAATAGTGATTGATATTTTTTTTGCTCGAAAAAACGAATTTCTTGAATATTGAATCGTCCTAGGAATACGAAAGTACGGGGTGGGGTGGACCAAATTGTAACACACTGTATATAGTATGTATGTAACTATACTTAGGGTATCTAGGTGTCAATAAACGGGTTGTAGAGGACATGGAAGAGAAATTTTTTCGAAACTAGTGATATGTTAGGTGTTGATAGGATGTAAATATTCCAAAAGTCCCCGAACTTACGAGAGGAGTCAAGTGCTGGGCGACAAAAAAAGTCCTTTATTCAATTATCGTTCATATCTTGAAGACGACACGTCACAGCGAAAGAGTCACTCCATTCAGAGTTATAACAGATAAGAAAAGTCAATCTATTCAGAATTATAGCTGATAAAATCATCTACAACATTGTGTCGGTAGTTTTTTTCCGTATCACATTGTTTTCGAGATTTTCGCTAACGACCCAGAAAATATTTGAAAATTCGCTTTCTCATCTATCAGAGATTATAATCTCTGTATCTATGATCCACTGTTATATGAGCGAATTATTGTGAATAGCCTTGACCACATCTAATTTATCCACAAGCTAAAATAGAATAAAACAATTTTGATGAAACTTTTTTCGAAAAAAAATTGATACTACATAAAGATTGTACTTGTTTCGAACTGTTGAAAGCAAGAATGTAAAAATATACAGGGTGGTCCATTAGAAACAACCCAGTTGCTGGCATTTCCAGAGGTACCGGAAGTCCGTCATATTGGATTGTAATGTGATCAAATCCGAAATGGTTGCTTTTATAACTTCATCAAATTTTAAAAAAATCCGTTCACGGAGGCAGAAGTAACAGGGGTGGCCTGATTCCCTGTGTCACCCACTATTGTTTCTCACTTCTAATGGAAGCACTCCTGTATCTTTCGTTATTTTTTATTCCGGTGTCTTAAATTTGTAGTAGCGGGAAGTATACTGAAGTACTGATTACTGAAGTATACTACCAAGAGGACATCTTCAGTGATATACAGGGTGTCCGGAAATTATGCGCAAAAAATCAAGGAGGTGATTCTACATGATGAAATAAGAAATTGTATATGTACGTGGGTCCGGAAATGCATAGTTTTCAAGTGTGTTAAAACTTTTGAAAAAGATCGATGTCTTATATGAATATCTCAAATGTTCTTCCACCGATTTTCTTGAAATTTGGCAGTGATATTTTTTGTCATGAGGGGCTGATATAGCCATAATCCAATTGCGATTATGAAATTCAGTGGCGTTCCGGGGGGCAACCTACCGAATATTATTGTCAATAAAATGTGAGCTACTCCATTTTCTGAATCTTCACAACCTATTGACCATCTGAAAA